GCATGCCCATCCACGGTATCCTGGCTCTGACTACCACCGCCACCGACAAGATTGGCCGCTCCGTCCCTGCTCCTGGCCAGGGTGTCCTCACGACTGCCCGTGAGCACGCCGGCAAGTTCCCTTCACCTCTGCTTGACATTAACTACCGCCGCCGCCAGATCACCCTTCGCAAGAAGCAGATCAAGCAGTGGCAGGAGTCTGAGCTCGAGTACCTCTACGACGAGGTTGAGGCTATGAAGGCCCAGGGCTCCGAGTTCAACGAGAAGGAGTACGCCCACAACCGTGCCGAGCACATCAAGAAGGAGGCCGACCGTCAAGAGAAGGAGGTCCTCCGCAGCCTGGGCAACAACTTCTGGAAGAACAACCCCGAGATCGCTCCTCTGCGTGGTGCCCTCGCCACCTGGGGTCTTACCATCGACGACCTTGCCGTCGCTTCCTTCCACGGAACGTCGACCAAGGCCAACGACAAGAACGAGTCTTCCGTCATCTGCCAGCAGCTCAAGCACCTTGGCCGCAAGAAGGGTAACGCCGTCATGGGTATCTTCCAGAAGTACCTCACCGGTCACCCCAAGGGTGCTGCTGGTGCCTGGATGATGAACGGCTGCTTGCAAGTTCTCAACACTGGCTTGGTCCCGGGTAACCGCAACGCCGACAACGTCGACCCCGTCATGGAGCAGTTCGACATGATCGTTTACCCCAGCCACAGCATCCAGACCGACGGTATCAAGGCCTTCTCCGTCACCTCTTTCGGTTTCGGACAGAAGGGTGCCCAGGCTATCGGTGTTCACCCCAAGTACCTCTTCGCTACCCTTGACGAGAAGACGTACGACGAGTACTCCGCCAAGGTTCAGGCCCGTCAGAAGAAGGCCTACCGCTTCTTCCACAACGGCCTCATCAACAACACTCTGTTCGTCGCCAAGTCCAACGCCCCGTACACGGACGAGCAGCTTAGCAAGGTCTTGCTCAACCCCGACGCTCGCGTCACGGAGGACAAGAAGACCTCGACCATCTCTTACCCCTCCAACTTCATGAAGGCTTCTGAGAAGACCGTGTCACCCACGGCTTCCAAAGCCACTCAGGACATGATGGAGGCTCTGGCCAAGAAGGTGGCGTCCAAGAGCAGCAACGTCGGCGTTGACGTTGAGGACATCACTGCTATCAACATCGAGAACGAGACGTTCATCGAGCGTAACTTCACTGCTGGAGAGATCCAGTACTGCCAATCGGCACCCAGCCCCCAGAGCTCATTCGCCGGCCGGTGGAGTGCGAAGGAGGCCGTCTTCAAGTCTCTTGGAGTCTCCAGCAAGGGTGCCGGTGCGCCGTTGAAGGACATTGAGATTGCGAAGGACGAGTCGGGTGCCCCGGTTGTCAAGGTAAGCTAATCCCACATGATATAAATGATGCATCTGGCTAACATTGTCACAGCTTCACGGTGATGCCGCTGCCGCCGCCAAGAAGGTCGGTCTGAAGGACATTAGCGTCTCCATTTCACACTCGGAGTCGCAAGCGATTGCTGTCGCCGTCGCAAACTTTTAAAAGGCGATAGACTGTATAGTGCATTTCGAGTTTTATGGGATATAGGCAGGCAAGGGATCTTGTCATCTTCGCTTCGATCGTGTTTTGAAATCATACAAGCCAGGGAGTAAAGATCGCGGGGACACTTTGGGAGGAGTGTCATCGCTATCATCATCGTCGGATGAATTGACGAGTAATGCACGAGAAGGGAACGGCGCAATGCGATAGACTGCTAGTTCCTCAATGCCACAATAGAATCTGTATCAAATCCACATAATGCTCCGGTCAAATTAACAGGTGAACATCTCGACTTTGCGACGTCATCGTTGCGTTGTCACGACACGGCGCGGGACACTCGGCTCTCAAGCTTATCGTTATCTGCTCATGTCAGCGCCCACCTGTTCGGGCGAAGCGACGATCTGGATGGGTGCTATGCAACGTAATCCCGGTCTTAGCATGGGAGAAGTCTGATGAAATGGGATGAACGGGGTGGAGGGGTTCGTATGCGGGGAACATGATTGGCATGAGGTTGTAAGGGAGGGCAGGACAAGCTGGATCGGTGAACTCTGCTTCGGTTTTTTCATGGTCACGGGAAGACTATGTTATGCTGCGATCGGGCTTTCTCTTAACGCTGATATTCTTACGATAATGGGATTTACTGGTGACGACGGCCTTGGCTGTCCGTGTCCTCTGGTTGATCTGGGGACAGAGGACGTGGTCAGGACGGTTGAGTTAGGTAATCAGGGGTAGGCGAGCCAAGTGGCTAAGACGTCAGATGGAGGGGGGTCAGGGGAGGGGCTGTGTCGTCACAGAATTGCAGGTTGCCTCGACTCTTGACGCGGTCTTGGGAGTCTGGTACCAGACAGACAGGGAGGAGCTTGGGCGTGCGCGCGTCGAGCCATTCAAGGGATGAGGTAATGTCTTGACGGGGAGGAGGACGGTTGGGCTGGCGTTTACTCGCACATGTTGTGTTTTGGCACGCGATCCTCCTGGTATTTTCCGTTTCTTGGTGGTGTTTCTCGATGTTTCGTTTTTTCTTGGGCTTCTTGTGTGCTGGAGGATGGAGGTCGTCTCATGTTGGTGTGATGTGTTCATGCCAGACTCGCCTGTCAGTGTCATGGAGGGGAGGGACGACGATAAGTGGATGCCGTTTTGCGACATGCCATTGTTCAACCGAAGTGTTTAAAAATAGGGGCCATGCATAGGAGTATGAGTCGACGTGGATCGACGACGACGAACGAATAGATTTTTGCGCGCATTGAGGCTTCCTGGCAGGAGTGAAAGCCCCCTGGTTGGGAATGGTATTGTTGGTGAATGATCTGAAACTGGTCGAAAATTGGGCCAGCCAGCCAGCCAGCTGGTTCCTCGCGGTGCTTGCTGGTGGGAGGATCGCGGCCGGTTGCCGGCTCTGTCCAATGAGGGTCCGGGTGCTGGGTGATCGACGGGGCCCCGGCGGAGTGGGGCCCTTTGTGTGCACTGCCGAGCGGTGCTGTCCAATCGACTGCGAGAAGAGGCATGTCTCTGGAGCTTGTTGAATTTAAAGTGCTTTATGCAGTGATGCATCCCTTTTTTGTCTGGCCCTGTCGATCAACCGTCGTTCCCGGGACTGCATGGATTTTTTGGCTTTAGAGTGGTGAACTGTGGGGGGGGAGCATGAGGCATGAGGCATGAGGTTGAGGGAAGGAAGAAAGGAATGGTGAAAAAGGGGATATGCGTCTGGGCTTCTTCTTTTTTTGTGGCGCAGACAAGGCGTTTGGATCTCTTATTTCTGGGGGTTGTTGTTTATGCAGGTCCCCGGGTAGCACGGACTAGGGGCGATGTGTGTTTGAAGGAGATGGTAACGGGAGGTATAAGGAGCGGAGGTTCCCCAAGGGCGAGCTGCGCGCGCGCATGCTGTTGTCTAACTGACTTGTTGTTTCTTCATGTTGCTTGACCTTTTTTGAGTTGTGAGGGACGAGAACAATTTTAATACCTATTCGGACCTTGCCACCGGAGCAATTTCGATCGATATCGACGACGACAGAGACTCTCTATTTAATCGCACATCACGAATTTGGACAGAAATAAAAATGGCCGGCGCAAACATTCGAGGCCTCATGGGCAAGGGCGTCCCGCCGACGCCCACCTTCTTCTCCATCCTGCGCGTCGCCGTCATGGTGCTGTCGCTGGCTGTGCTCGCCGCCTGCGCTTACAACCTGTCGCTGCTGGGCGGACAGGCGAGCTACGCCGGTCCGCCGGGCTTCATGCTCTTTGTGGTATGTTTTTTTTCGCCTTTCCCAACATTGCTGATTGTAGTTTGCGATTCCCCTTTCCTGTTTTTCCGCATGGCAATCGCGAACGACGTTGAGCAGGCGCGAAGACAACTTGAACTTGGCTGACCATGCAACGCAGTCCCTCTTCACCCTCATCATCCTGGGCGGCGCCATGGCCCTCGAGCGCTTCGCGCCGCAGTTCTACTTCCGCCTGGCGCTGCTGATCGCGTACGGCGTCAACGTGCTCTTCTGGCTGTCCGGGTGGGCGTGGTCGGCGAGCATCGCGTCGCTGTTCCTGGGGAACACGTGTATTGGAAGCACGTGCTTTGGGCCGACGACGGAGGAGACTAGGTATGGGGCGAGTATGGCGGCGGCGGCGGGCGTTGGTGCCGTGAACTGGTAAGTTTTGTCCATCTCGCTCTCTTCCGGTCTGAGGGCAATGCTAACGAGCGGCAGGGTCATGATGATTGTGGTCCTCTTCTACTTCGTCAGGGGATGTCTTGCGGACCCCGACTGCTACGGTATCTCGACGGGCCACGGCGCTGAGATGGGAAGCCTTAGTCTCAAGGCGGAGGGGAAGCAGCCTTCTCGGTCGTCAAACTCCGAGTAGACGATGGATGGCTTTGAGCTGAAGGCATGATGATGGATCGCAATGGATGGTTCGTGACTTGAGGACGCTGGGAACTGGGTAATGACTGGAGTTTGAGGTTCAGAAAGGATCTGGTACAGGGAGGCCCCCCGACTAAAGGGCAGTCGTCAGAGTCAAGGTCAAGGAAAAGGCTCTGTGGGTGTTTGATGAATTTTGATAGAGATACCACTGGCTCTTATTAGCTAATAAGAAATGTTCGACTTGATCTTTTGCCTCGGAAGCATATGGCGAGCACTAACAAGGCTGGGTATAGGTCAACAATCAACCCAAGGATTTTCATGGCACGGCCCAACATCTACATCTCGGACTGCCTTCAATCACCGAGACAGCAATGTATCGCGTGGGACGTGGACAACTGCAGCACTAATGGCCTTCGAATTGATGGCTACGAAACCCTTAATAACCCAGCAAACCCAGCAAGACTCCAAACTTTTCGTGACATCTACATGTAGTCCAACAAACCTTCACCCTCTCTCGCAAACTGATTCAAACCATGCCAAAGCGGAGAAACCAAGGGTATCTCAAGAAGAAGCCACCGCCCGAAAAAACCAAGCGTCCTTGAAACAAGTGAGAAAGCCGCATGATCACTCTTCCATGTCCTTCGCCTTTCTCTTACCAATCTTCCCATTCTTCTTGCGAGAAGCAGCCTTCCTCGATCTCGCCGCCGCATCCGCCACCTTGGCCTGCTTCGCCAACCGCTTCTCCTCCTCAGTCGCGTCGTTGCTAAAATCAAGCGCGTCCCAGCGGTGGTCCGCAACCATCTCGCGCTTCACATTCTCGTCCAGCGCCTCCCAGTCGCCCACACCGGCGCCGAGCCCCACGGCCCGGGCCTTCCAGAACTCTACCTCCGACTGCAGGGCGAAGATGGCCTCGGCGCGGTGCGTGACGGCGCGCAACTTGCGGTCGCGGGAGCGGGTGGCGGCGGTGTTGTTGCGCTTCCGCTCGAAGTCGTTCTTGGCCTCGGCGATGGCGTCGTTGCGCGCCATGGCGGCGTCGCGCTCGGGGCCCTCGGGCATGGAGGCGGCGTCGAGCCAGGGCTCGAAGGCGGGCTTGGGCGAGACGGGCGCGATGAAGATCTTGGAGGACCCGAGGCGGATCTTGTGCGTTGTGCGGAAGGGGTCGGGGTGGATGAGGCGCTTGATGGTGGGCGAGGGGGGCGGGAGGGGGTGCGGCTTGTGGGAGGAGAGGATGGCGAGCATGGCGGCCTCACGGGCGACGCGCTCGGCGGCGGGGATGGTGGAGGGGATGGGCAGGGCGGAGGCGAGCTTGGAGGCGAAGCCGCCTGGGACGATGTACGCGCCGTTGGTGTTGATGGAGGAGAGGTTGGCTGTGAAGGGAAGCTCTGGGGTGGTTGAGCGGTTGATAGCGGTGGAGCTGTCGTGCTGCTCTGTGGTGGCCCAGTCAGTGGGATGCTGGGGGAGAGCTTCATGCTGAGGGTCATGGTTCTGGAGGGGAGCCTGGTGTTGGGGGAGAGCATTGTGCTCGAAGGTGGGAAGGGTGAGCTCCTGGTTGATCATTGAGGCGGGCAACTGGTTGAACTGGTCCAAGACGCTCGTATCTCCATTGTTGTAGTAGGATGAGAAGTCAGAATATTCCATGGGAGGGCTGGCTGGTGCTTGAAAGGGTCTGAAGTAGGTGTTGGCATCGTTGAACAGATGCGAGCCGTCATCTTCATAGCTGTTAGGGAGGCCGTCGGCTTGAGGCTTGTCCCAGGCACTGGCACAGAGGCTTCGGAGCTCGTCAATCCCCATCATTGTGACGACTTGCGAGGGATGTTTGTCGGTGATGTTTGGGGAGGTGTTGGGTGTGAATCAGAGGGGTCGGCGAATTGTAGCAGAGAGATGAGTCAAATTGCTCTTGAATGCAGCCAAGCCGTACGTCGAGTGACTCCAAGGTATTTTTGAAGCGAGAAAAAAAATTGGAATTGGGGGGATGTTGATGACGGTGATGGCAAGCTGGGGGCAGTGATCGTGGGGGACGAGGGGTTTCTCTTATACAACTGAACGACCCACGACCGAATCACCGCGTTTGCCTTTGGAAGAAAATTTTGTTGAGGCACGAAAATCGGATCGAAGCCTGTTTTGGGAGGCAGCTGGGTCTGCTGAGGGAGAACGCGTCGCGTGGAGGCCAACACGTGAGGAGGAGGACTTGGGATGACGGGGCATCTGGTCGTCGAGTCGACCATGAGGACAACAAAAGATGGAGGCATGCTGCTCAGTGAGCCCCGCGAGGACTTCCAAACGGGGATGGTGCCTTTGTGGGTGCTCTCCATGTGACTTTGTTGACGTGGGATAACTGATGCGGAACGTCGAGGAAACAAACGTGACTTGGCGAACGAGCGCAAGTATTAGAAATTGTGTGATTAGACCTCATGAGCCGAGCCATCGCCAAAAAGCTGGTGGTTATGGACGTCGACCAGCGACCTCTTCGAAGCCCCTCTATATATTTGAAGATCCTCGGACTTTGGGACTCCTATAGACACAAATGGCCTGTACTGGGTAAAACAGTTTCTTATTTGAAGGTTGACTTGCCTCCGTACCATTATGTCTTGTGATAAGCCTGCTCATCATCAAATCATTCCATACCATTTGACTCCTGCATAAGCACGAAGTCGATAGGAATGATGCGCCAACGACAATGACCAGAAAGCGGCAGACAGCTAAGCTTTTACGACTTTCCAGCCAATCGAAATCATTCCAGCCTAGTATCATGGCAGCGTTGTTTGGAAGAAATTGAAACGAGCTGAAGCATCATTTTTGTGGATTTTGGTAATCGGTCTTGAAAGTTGCTAGCTTTTATGCTTCACGCACCGTTTGAACGATGATGAAATACGCCTCGAAACGTCAACCTTGTCCGAGCACCGCTCAATATAAGAAGTGGTCGGACATATCACTACCTGGTCCTTCTCTTCTTTATGAGCAGGAGAATGGGGCTAGCTACAAAAACGCTGAACACTTTGCACAGTCACTTGAGTATCTCCCAAATCCCCATCGAGTTCTGATGGATACATCTGAAACTCACAACAAACTTCTCTGTTCCTGTCTCTGATTTATTCTCTCGAGAATAGCCTCTGTAATAAGGGATTCGGTATCTGGCCCTGAAGCTTGTCGACATCAAGGTACCAGACCGACCGGGTACAAACTCCACGCATCAAGTACCGATTCTGGAGACTCTTTGTATTGTTTGTCTACGAGGACATAAGAAGCTGAAAATATCAGTCATTTTATGTACGCGTAGCATTGAGGGCGGGAACTATTCGCATAAGATAGACGACAGATTTGTGCTGATCTGAATGTTATCACGAGATTCAGAAACTGGCTAAGCACACGAACCCGAAGAGTCAATTCCCATGAAAGCGACTTGTATTGCTCGCCATTACTCGTCTCCCGATTTCGAATCTTCCTTCCAAGTATTCATTGGCAAATAATGCGATACCAGCTAAATGAGACAGTTGATCTGCAATTGAAGTTTGCTCTTCTAAAGTGTGAGTATTTTGGGAATGTGATGCCTTTGCTTCCACCTCCTTAAACACCCATGAAATGGCGTGGAGTTCCAAGCAGATTAATCAGAATCTCTGACGAAAAGAAACTTATATGTATCGTCTTTCATCGTTATTGATTACCTTTTCTTACTATCGTCGTCTACTAGCATCCTCGTCGTCGTTATCGTCGTCGTCGTTATCGTCGTCGTCCTTCGTAATCATCGTTTTCTCTCCTACTGTTGTCTTTATCTAAGTATAAGGTGTACTACGATTGGTACACCACCTGAATAGAATTATTCATTCTGTTACTTCAACCATGACGATCGAAGCTATCCTCATTGGCAAACGAACTCACGATCACTCCCACCGAGTGTCGGCGATGTGATATTTCAATGTTTGAATCTAAAAAACGAGCTCTTTCGCGAGATTTCATGAGTTCAACGCCACGAATGGGATTCCATCTTGGTATGAGCTCAATGTGTAGATTTTGAATCGTGAAGCCAATACCTGAATTCGGCGAGTTCACTTAGAGATGTCTCGCTGCCGCAATGAGAGCTTGATCTACTCTCAAAGCATTGCCTTCCGGCCTTTATTCCCAGCAAACAGTCAGAACGCAGACACGCCGAGAGATGAAGCTCAACGCAGTGTTTACGGTGCAACCGCAAGTCGAGCCATCGATACTTTGCGTCGATGTGTGTCACTGCTAAGTGCATCGAATTCAATTAAGCCTAGCTAGGTGCAATCGTGCTGAAGAACCATTCTATGCTGCATCAATCCTCTTATATGTTTACTGACAGGGTTTTTGCACGTGCTCATGCTGGAGGCTGCAAATCCTCAAGGCTTAGAAAGAACCATACGAGTGCAAGGCCGGGAGACCAACCATATATAATGAAGCATGAATTCCTTTGCATTTTTATCTGCAGGGCAATTATGTAGTCGATGTACCTACCCTGTTACGGTGAATGAAAAGCCAGGAGCAGGTTTGCTAATTATGAGAGCTCGCTTGATGAGAGGAGCCGGCTCTGTATTTGACGGATGTTCACACACGGAACTCAGACTTCGGTCGTCTCGGTTGTGTTGTTCCCCGCTATAATACACAGACAAAGATGACTGGGATCGACGAGAAGTTTTCCGCAAGATCGTCTTGATCAAGTATCGCTGGATTTCTCCTGGAGTTTGCTGACATTGTTTTCCTAGCACAAACCCTTAGACCTCAGTCTTTCAGAGCTTAGATAACAGGGCCTAGTGGAGGATCATTTTGCTGGTCAATTTCTTTCTGTAGCTACGCATCACCACTATTTATGCCACACCCGAAGACGTCGTGTTGTTTTGGTGGCTCTTGCATAGTCCGTCAGGCAATCTAAGGCCCCACCTCAAGGTCAGAAGGGGACAAAGTTGGCACATCCAAGGAGTATTTAACCTAGATTTGCGGGAAGCTTTGTTGTGGGCACAACAAGATGGTCTTCCTCTGAAGTCTGTCTTCTCAAACTTAGGTATCGCTTCAAATTACTCGTTGTGAGGTATGTTGCCTCTGATTGCGCCTGCAAAAGAACACTACCAAACCGTAACAAGGCAGTTGAATATACCTGATAATACGCCAGGACAAACGGTACTGGAAAACGAATTGTCTCCGGTGGAAAAGCAACAGAGACTGATCAGGGAAGATGAGTTAGCATCCCCCGCTCATTTATTTGTCTGTTTCGCCCTGACCGTATGAATATCATTGAACGAGCGAAACAATCTGTGGTGCTAATTTCTCATGGCAGGTTGGAAGATGGGTATTTAAGCAACTCGTCGTGGCTACTCTTTACGACTGCATTATTCGGCGACTTATGAGCGGTGAGGACTGGTTTGAGAAAGGGATGATGTATTTAAGGCCACTGTTTTGAGCTGAAGCTGTATTTGACACCGCGACGCGAATGTAGTACAGAGATTGCCTCATGCGAATGTTGCAAACTTGATTGTACTCATCTGGTCGCCCGCGCGAAATCGTGAGATGCCGTCTCAACTCCGCAGAACAACGAAACTAACATAACATTGCTGGAGACTTTGAACTTATTCCAAGTCAGAATACGCAAGGAAGAAGGGAGATTGACGACGGACGATTACAAGTAAGGATCATGGAGAAAAGGGCGGTTGGGTGATGAGACGAGATCGAGTAAGCATATCGCTTTTTTGACTGTTCATTACCATCTAATTCTCGCAACATGGGCCTCATTGCCGTGGGGAGCTTCTCAAAGGTAATTGAATAATATTTAAACTTTTTGAAGCACTGCGCAGGCAGTCCATCTCACAAAGGACTAGGGGATCAGGTTTAAACAACAAGTAGTATATAAAGCTAGGCTCTCTGGCTGAGAATGGAACCTGACCTTACAGCGCAATAAACCAAACAGGTGCAGCCACCTCAAATTGATCATGTGGGCTTGCTTGCTTTACCACACGACGCCACACCCACATGGTGTCAGCTAACACAAAAGTAAGTTGACATGGTCGAGGACTTCGAAATCACACGATTCGGTTCGGAATACATTAGGAACAGCGAGGGCGGATAATGAGTAGCTGAGAGAAATGGCGAAGGGCGGTTGATGAGGAACCTCAACCTGGCACTAAACTTTCGGCCTTTGTCTTGCGGTCTTCGTTAAACGCGAAAAGATTACCATATTACATTGTCGCCAAAGACTTCAATGGCTTATTAAACGGTATTTATATGGGTTCGCGTCAATTGCTACTCGAGAATGATTTCCAAGGGGCATTGCCGTGTGTAAAATTCTGGGAGCGAACAAAGTGTTATTAAGGAGTGCACTTCATTGTGATTCCGGCCATTTCAAAAGGTTAAGCGGTATATACTCTCCGCTTTGCGTTTCCAAGTAATGGCCTCAGCCCAAAGATGGGCATGTCGTCGGAACGCGGCCGAAGCCGTTACCGCGGCTCGGGAGTTGGGGTAAAGATGTGGGACCAATCAGGCCCGGTGCAGATCCGGGCACTACCGGAACGCAGCCGGATCAGCAGAAGGATTCCGTCACTCACCCAGTGGCAAATTTTTCAGTGACGATGGAGAAATAACTATTCAGAACTGTATTTAAAAATCTATATGAATCCGATTGAGGAGACTCTAGTAGCGGACCAAGCCAAACGCTCCCACTGGATATTTCCATTTCGGCCATCTTGGGCTCGTAAACCGTAGTTATCATGCAATGCAAAAAAAGACAGATTAAAAACGCCGTGTAGAATGCCACCACACTCCAGCCGGGCGCCGTGAAGCATATGCCAGAC